GGCCCAGTTTCACCAGTTCAGAACGAAAATTGACCGCTGGATCTCGTCTACGATTCTGCTTCCCCTTTCTGATGCCAAGTGGAGTGTTGCTGCTATTTTCGAAAATGCCGCGCCAGTCCTAACTCCCGGGACGGCTGAATTCACTTGTATCGGTGACTGTTGCCCCGGGATTCCTTGGATCGACGACGTAAAATCGTAACTGCCCGGCTGAATGTCTCAATCAAACTTTAAGGAGGAGAAATCCTGCCTAACATACTAGCCAGAGCCGCAGTGCCCAAATACCCCCGCCCGCACTCCCATCGCCACTGCCACCCTCGGAGGCTTCAAGCGACCGGAGTTACGATTACTCAGAACTATGGAACGACCCATTTCTTCAGGTTTCAAGTTCATCGAATTCAGCCCCGCCGCGGGTCTCAATGATCCAGTTGATTTTCGAGCAGATGTAGTCGGTGGGCCGAGAAAGAAATATCCTTACGGCTCGGATGTGACACTAGTTCCCAACAGTATGAGCACCACCGTTGGATTCCGACACGGATCCGGGCATTAGCTAAGTAGGAACTCAAAAAAAAAAAAAAAGGATGATGAGATGGAACCATAGCAGCAACTCGTTTCGATCGAGTGACCTCGGGGTTTCGAAGATGCCTTATGGGCCCCGCGCGCTTCCAGACTGCGCCATGCTGCTGTGCATACAGGTGAGAATGATGAAGGGAGAAGATAGGACGGGCAAAACATTTTGTGAGCGGTGAAAAAAAAATTGAATCCCAATTTGGGCATTTTGACTGTAGAGAAAGCACGCAGATGAGCTGTAACGAGGTCATCTGCACAGAGTGCTGCTTCTGAGCCTTCAACGTTTCAACGTTGTCAAAAGTCGCATACCCACACCAAATTCTTGCAGTCCTCCGCTCCGAGAGTTTTCCCACGGTTGAATTCGGGTTTGATCGAGTGGGATGGGAGTCGAAAACCCTGGGTAAATAAATATGTCACGCTTGTCATTTCAAGTCAAGCCACATGTTAAATAACAGCATAGAAGTTTGTATAGAAGAGGTCGGTGTCGGTGTCAATAGAATCTCAACATGAAGGTCTGCAGGGAGACTTTCCCCCGAGCCGCCTTCCACGTTGCTGCAGGACGACATGTCAGGTAGGCATGCTGTGCCATTAGTACAGGGTTTAAAACAGCGCTGGTGGCGAGCGATCAGGTTAGGTCGGGTCCTGCGCTCGTAGTCCTACATTGTTCATGTATGAATACCCGGGAGTGCAGATCTGTCCTTCGCACCCGACACAGGTTCCAGTCTGCATTCCTTTAAGAGACTGTTGCGAAAAGGCAGCTAAATGAGCCTACCTGTGTGTCACAAGTCGGAGTTTCAGGAGGACAAGTACTGTTGTCCTGACAGTAACCGACGTAAACCGACGGGGATGCACAACTAAAGAGAAGTTGAGTTGGGTAGCCCGCGAAGCCACGAGTGAGGACCTACAGCGTCCACGCAAAGTACGCCATGGCCACACTCGATGTCCGTTTCGCACTTCTGCGCAGCTGAGACAAGAAGGATGAGGACGGGGAAGAGGACAACATCGGGGAAGAGCATGTTCGTAGTGAACTGATACTCCCTGGCAGTGCGGTCTTTTATACTCCTGGTATGACTCGTAAGCCGAAGATGGCGGGAATGGGAGAGCGGCAGACGCCTGCTCGGACGAACCATCCAATGAACGAGGGGAGCTATTCCCCGTCGCAAGTGAGGTTGACCTACATTAGGACTAACCATCACGCTCTAAAGGAGATCAATGAGAGGCTAGTCCCGGTCCTGGGACAGTTCGACTTAAACTACTAGTGCTTCAATGAACCCATGAAGAATGGCTGGTCCCGGTCATAAATGCTCCAATGTAGCTGGGAGTTACCATCCAGACAGCTCATCAACCTACCATAAAAAGGGGACGAGAGGGGAGAGTGTAGTAGCCGCCACCGGACAAGACATCGAGCTGTACAAGGGCAATTATTTTCGGTCGCAAGTAATTTAAACAGTTCAAGTTCCCGATGAGGGAATTGCAAGTGAATTGACCGAAAGTAGATTGTACATCTTCAGGTTGTTATCTTCACCTTCAGGCACCGAATGCGACAGTGCTCGGACATAAGTGATCAAAGCGACTTCCTTTCTGCTCCCTGTTCGGTGCCCATTCCGCTCACTGCTGTACACCGCGACTTGGTCGACAGGTGGATTCCAGGTGGGAGCGATAAGTATTCTACATGTCTGGAGCAACTGGCCGCCAGGTGTCCGTTGTATGGCCACCAGGTCAATGGTCCTATGGGACCACACTGGGGCCAGTTCTGAGCTGGCCACCAGCTGTCGTGCCAGGTGTGGGAGGCTTGCTCAGCCACCCGGAATTTTTTCTCTTTCGGGTCATTCAGTTTGTCCGCGACCGGTATCATATCATGTAAAAGGATATATGCATTCGTCAGAGTTCGCTCTACAGACAGCGAGTACGTACGTACATACGAGAACACAGCGGACACAAAACAAGAGTCGCTGTCCGTGGCTTGTCGAGCCACAAAATCATGGGTTGAAGTATTAGCGTGCTTGCAGTAAGAATGAGGAGACATTCGGCCGAACATCGTACTTCAAAGAATAACCAGCATGAAGAGAACAACTATGATTTTGCGTGCCAAAGACTGGGGAGAATCGGACAGAATTGAGGATTCAAATCAATCTGGGGCCCATAAGTCTTGATTTGCTTAAAACAACTTGAAACTTGTTGTAAATGCCCTTCGTGTCCCAGAGAGCTTGAGTTAGGAGAGCCGACTTGAAACGTGTTGTAAATGCCCTTCAAATTGTGCTTTGCATTCGGGTCGCAGCTTGAGACATGGCGCTGGCAGCTTTATCTTCTTCATGTTGACGCAGCCCTACTTCGCGTTGACGACTTGTGGTAGGCGCGCGATAAGCTACGTGAGTAGATATCGATTCACGCGGGGGCGGATTTGCGAACGCGATGGCGATACCGATGAGTGAGTGAGTTTATTTTTGAAGGGAGGAAGCCCCGCTTGAGCTGGCGCGCATTGCTTTCCCTTGTACAGCACCTTCCTTCATCTCCACCCTGCCCAATTTTTCTAACCCGTCCACTGTCCATTGGTGAGCTTCGTTCGGTCTTGAATATTAGCTTGAATGCATTCGGGGATTGAGACGAAGCAGTCGGTGGCCTGAACAGCTTACTGAGGGAAGCTAAGGGACAGTCTCGGAGGAACCAGTGAGAACGGTGAAGGGAGAAGCGAGTGGGGAGAAGTCCAACACGCACGTGATCATGACACGGACAAACAAACTGATCATTGATTGCGCACGGACACTTCGCCGCCCTCTCTTCTCCAATCCCTTGTGCTACCAAAACTTCGAAACCGGGCTCAAGACACGCTCTGAGTTCAAGTTGATTTGACACTCAATGAAGCAGCAAATTCTTCCTCGTGGCACCGATGACAGTCAATCACCCGTGAACGACTCGTGAACGCGGGCGGATGGCATGAAGGATCTGGTTTACCATCTTGGAGTACAGTTCGCACCGGCAGTGATATTACAATAAGATCTCCACTACAGTTTACACCCGATTATTAGGATGTCACACCACAAGTGGTCGCCAGCTGTGGAAGTAGACTGTCTGGAAATTCCAGCTGGCGGCCAGTCAAATCCCAGTTGTATCCAGGTTCAGTGAAACATGGTCACCGAGTGACAACGCCAGCTGAACTCAACCTGTCGGCACTTTGGCGGTGTACTGTTCCTTTTCACTCTTTCGTTCGCGATCGCGAGTCGGGCGCTAAGGTGTCTGGCAACCGTGATCGAATCTAATTGCTATATTTCCCACGGTTGAACTTATCTGTGGTCGCGTGAAGTTTCGTCATTGCAACCTAGTTGCGGCAGCCTACTTAGAGCACTGAGTTAAATTAAAGCCTGAGTGAGTAGGCGTTTCTATTCGATGGGATTGTTCGACATGAACTAGTCGGGACCAAATAAGACAGTAATGGCCACCCTCCGTTTGAACTCGTCTGGGTCATATTTATCGAGGCGTTGCAATTCTTCCGTCACCTCTTCGAGACTCGCATTCCCACCAGTGAACCAAACGACGAACAAAACCCAGACCTCTGTGTTCTCCCACTTAGCTTCAATTATATCCACCAAGGCAGGGAGAGATTGGAGCGAGGGTCGGAGTACAAGGCCTGTGAGGGCGGGAAAGAGGTCGCCGGTACGAATACGGTCCCAGAAACTCGACGGGAAGCGATCGGTCGGCGTAGAATATATTTCGAGTTGCTTTATGGTGGGGAACTGCTCCAAAAAAGGTATGAACTCCGTTACATTGATTGGGAACGCAACTATGAGGTTTTGGAGCTCAAACCTGGACCGCGTTTGGAAAGAGATAATCTGCAATAGTGGGATACTTTGCCCAAGGACACCGAAGGTTGTAAGCTTCGGAGTGAGGAGGTGATCCAACATGGCTTCGGCTCCACCGGAGAAATTGGAAAGGACCAACGTTTCGAGCCATCTCAAAGAGATGGGCTCAGCTGGATTTATGTTGTGCGGAGAAGACCTTATGGCGACATGTAGGTTCTTGATTCTCGGGCACTCGTTGTAAATCGAGCACCACACGTCCACTGTCAGCGCCGTTAGAGAGAATTCGACTGCTGTGAGTTGGGCCCATGGTAGTGACTCGGAAAAGCTCGCAGCAAATGTTACATGCTGGTCCCGGACGACACTCTGAGTTTGAGTGTCATTCATCATGCCCTCCGCCGCAGCACCCACCAACCCCAGCACATCGCTCGTGAAGAGCGGCCTCGGAGAATACGAGATCTCGCGGATTAACGGCGCTGAGTGGAATGCCTTCGAGTCTGAGGGCCAGTGCCAAGGTGCAAAGGCATCAGTGTCGGGTGGGGCGAAGTCATCCAGCGAGAGTAGCGGTTGTAGAGTAATCCCTTCGAGCAGGGGCAACGATCCAGAAGGGAGGTTAAATACCGAGTGGAGTGTCGCAAAGGGAAAGGAGAGGTCGGCGTTTTTCAGACGGTGTGCACGAGAAAGTAGGAACTCCATGAAGCCAGAGACGAGCTCCGGGTTATCGTGGACAGTGTGCGCATAAGCACCAACACAAGCTGCCGTGATTTCCAAGGGGTGAGTGGGGCCGGCGCGAGAAATCCACTGTTCCGCGATCCTTATAGCTCGCTGGACAGCAGCGCCTTCTTCGAATCCGATCGAGATATTCGCCCATAATTCAGGGCTCTCCGACACGAGGGACCTCCACGCACGGCAAACCAGAGGCAGGACAAGGTGCGGGTCATCAGCTTTTGGAGGCAGGCGCGCAGGAGTGAATTGAAGGAAGATTTCGGATAGCAGCTCGGGCGGAAGGCGGCTGGCGGCCGACAAATTCCCGGCCACAACCTGCTCGAGTTCCCGGCGTCGGCAAAGAAGCATGCCATATGGGTCGGGTGTGTTGTAAAAGACAGCACTGATAGCTTCGAGCTCAGCGTCGGGAGATATGAGCTCGTGCATGGTTTGGTTGATTATTGGTATGGACGGCTTCAAACTTGTCAGCAGCGCAAAGACCGGATTTTGGTTGTCTTACCTCGGTTCTAGGATGTACCGTAATCGGGGGACGTTCGCACAAGGTCTGTCATTATCGACTATAAGTAGCTGGGCATCCCGACTCGGAGGCCGCGTC